ATTGGAGATTTTTTTTGTAACTTCTCAAATTGTATCTTTAAATATAAAATTTTAAACGTTGCATTCATTCATCTTGAAGGCAGACGTTTTCTACGTTTCTTTCAAGATGAATGAAACCTAAAAAAACAAAGTACAACAGGTGACAGCGTTAATTTAGTTACGTTGTTTGAATGGTTTTGTGAGGGGTCTTGCCACTGCTGAGAAGAACCTGGCGAATACAGGCTTCATGTTGGCTGGACTAGGGATGATTTTCAAATTAATTTTCAAAACCATCACCACAGCATCATCAAAAGATGGATCCTCTGCAGTCACTTGTTGCTGCCATCTTGGCCAAGGCTCCCTTGCAAAAAAGATGTCAATCTCAATGGGACTCACCTGGTTAAATAAAGGTTAAATAAATAAAAAAATAATTCTGTAAGATCTTCACCCGACTTTGTGAGGTGCCTTGAGATGACTTCTGTTATGCTACATGAATAAAACTGAAGTGAATTGAACTTAAAAATGAATCCTTTGCTATTGATTTAGGTCTTTGGGATGTACTTGATTTTAATGCATTAAAAACACATACATGGTGTGAAATTGGCCCCTTACTGTTGCAGTGTTGCCTATGACAACCTGAACATTTCTCATCATAACTGAAGAGTTCTTGAACAAAACTCCTCCAGACATTTTTTTTAAAGACTTTATGATTCATAAAGCAATACAGCTATAGTGATGCTGGTTTGTTTAACTGCAATTACTTCACAGATAAGCCTGCCATCTTTTAATGAGTTTGCAAACTAGATGCTGCAAGGCATAATGTACTTGACAACTGCAAGTTTAATTGTCAGACGCAATTCTAGGAAATGGGAACGCACTTGCCATTTAAGGTTCTGCTTGCCATGATTTTACAGTGCTACATGCTACTGCATGTTTTTACGAAATGATCCCAGAAGACACGCAAACTCCAGACTCCACTGAAGTGTTCCTGGTCATTTTGAATTAAAATTCTTTTCGGCAGCCCTCATTAAACATTCTGGATGTTCTATATTTAATCCTGTGACTTTAATTATTCAGTTAAGGTGTCATTTTACACATCTGGATGGCGTATAGAATGTTGAAGCTAAATGCAGGAAAGGCTGGATGTCTATCTGGAAACCTTGAACCTCCAGAGCACCAGAGACTTTACGCTATTTAATGGTCAATTTAAACTAAGGGTCTCCGAGAAGTGGTTCTAAAGACCTGCTGGGAGGCCATGTCAGGAATGAAATACAGTCTTTCTGTATGCTCATGCTGGAAGGTGGAGTTAAAAACAAGTGTCATGGAGAGACGATGTAATATTGTTTAAAATGGGGGATTAATGGAACACATTTTCAGACAAACTCTCACAGGAGACATTGACAGTTTGCACAAAAGTGCCACAATAAGCTCATAATAATGCCTGGACCCTCTCTCACCTCTCAGTGCACAGCCAACAATTGCAGTGTGAAGTAGGTATGAGTGTCAGATTGTCGGTTTCAGAGAGTCAACCAAGGAAAAAAATCAATAAAAAAGGTTATATGGGCACTTGACTGTTGCAGCACATAAAATTGTAGTGTGACAAGAACAGGGGTCAAAACAGGCCCTGTAGTTCATCTCGTACTCCGATGTAGGTCAGTTCAGTCATTTCTGCAGCACATCAGCGTGAAGTCGAGTCAGTTTCATTTATAAATCCCCAAATCCCAAATCATGAACACAAACAAAGAACAAACACAGCATGTAGAGTGTAAACACTTGGCACTTGAAGGTGTAAAGGATGGAATTAGTGGGGCTGAATGTTTATTTTAAAAATCAAGGTCTTTCACAGTGTTATTAATATTTTCTTTGGATCCTTCCTCTTAAAATAACCTCCCACCAACAACCTCAAAATAAAACAACAGCAAGCCTAAGAAAAGAGCAAAAATGTAGCTGTTCTCTTTTTTTTAAAAATAAAGAGCTGCTCAGAGGCGTCTTAATTTGGTCCAGAGGTGTTCTCATTTAACTTGAGAGGACATTTGCCCCCTCCAATGATTGAGATTGGAGGGGGCAAGCTTTATGGTTTGTTCCAGCTTTTTTTTAAAGATTTATTTATTTTTTAATATATAAAGAGGGACATTTGTCATGCATTTGGAACAAAAAATATGTCAACTTATCAGAAAATGTGTTTGATTTAGTATAAAAGTCTGTAATTAATACCAACAAATATTTTGCGCATATTCTTTCTTGGGGTCTAATGGACCCTGAAAGACCTTCTACATATGGCAACATGAAAGTCCTGAATAGGGTTGAACTGTTTGTTCTCACAATGCCACCGACTGAGTTGAAATATGAAAATAAACTGAAGCCATCATTAAAAGTCCCATTGTTGAGCACACATAAACAAACAAAAAAAAATGATGATGCAGAAGCGTAGGCTAGGCCCAGTGATCTTTTCTGAACCATGTATATTTTATACATGGTTATTTGTTTTATGTCACAATAATACAAAACAAAACCAACAGAATATTTTAACTATAAAATACTTGGTCACAAAAATGAACCAAAAAAAAAAAATAGATATGTAAAACAAAAATATTGCTAGATAGAAAGATAGAAGTAGAGTTTCGATGAGTCCAAAAATGTGCTGAAAATGGGTTGATAGGCAAAAAATAATGAAATTTTAAGCTCAAATTTCGCAAATATCTTCACAACCATCCATATTTTGTGCCATGAGAATTTCAAATCAGAAAATTGTTCTAAAAAAATCTGTTGATTTAAGATGGAATGTTCCCATTGGTGATGATTTTTTTAAGGCAATGATGAACTTGCACAGTACAATATTCTTGGTGGGGATTGATGATAAATTTATGAATAAATATATATTAGAGACAGAGTTGAAATGAAATATCTCCCTCTGCTGTCCAAACATACTTTCCCTGGAGTGAACACCCCCCCAACAAAAACCCCACACACCCTTTTCTCACCATGCATCCTGCCCTAATCATTTTCAGACACTCCCTAATGTTTTCGTGGTATTAAACAGTATTTGTGACTTTTCTTAAGTCCTGCAGCGCTGCATATTCCTCCCGACAAAGCTGCAACAAGCTGTGCGTAAAAACGCTTCTGCCTGTTCCCTGGTCTTTTTGAGAATAAAAGCTTAACTGCGCCCTCTGTAATTCAGACCAATATAACCTAAATAAATTACGCAAGTGCACGATGATGTCTCTCCCCCCCTCTCTCTCTCATCCTCCTCTCTGCCTCTCTCTCTCCTCTTCTTTACATCTCACCAGATTTGTCTTGTGGATGGGGGACGCGGCTGCAGCGCAGGAGAAATCCTCCTCCGTGACCTTCCATCCGTCTCCTCTTCTCTGCGCCGACAACAAGCACGTCAACTAAACTTTTGCATTCAGCTTTTGATCTTTTTATTTGCTTCCTTTGCGCAGTTTGCGTCCTCATTTCCAACCATGACCGCCGAGGGAGCGCGTCACAAGAGGAGGTTTGCTCACCAGCTGCACCAAGGTGAGGATTCATCTTTAAATATTTTAGGAAAAAAGTTCTGAACTGCTCGCGTTTTATCAGTTTTGAAAAGCTGTGCTGATGATTGTTGAAGCTGTTTGACGTGTTTGTTTGCTTTTTGACTGATGCTTAAGTTATTTGAAAAAGCACAAATTAACATTAATGAACCTTAAGTTCTTCAAAATAATCATAAAAGAAGCATCTACATGATGTTTTAAAGGAACCAAATGTCACTGCTAGTGGACATCACTGTCAGATTATAATTCCTCACAGCAACATGATGTTGAACTCTCTTTTCGGATATTTCTAACAATACAGCTCATGCTATATTAGTCACATAACCTTGGTTTTGCAGGGTGATGCTTGCGATATGGTGACATAAATAACCTTTCAGAAGAAGTCATTAGTGTCCATCAATTCAGTGTGTGTAATGCCAATTATCCTTAACAGTCAGTTGATGAGAATGAGTTGCACCATATTAATGTGGCAGCAAAAGCAATATTGCCCTCAACCCACAGGGGGAATCTGCCACTTCAATGCAGGACAAATTGGTTTTTTTTGCATTAATTGTTTCCTGCATGATAAACATAAAATGTCATTCACCATTAAAGACTCTGTCAGACTTTAGAAAACATCAGGTGTCTTTTTCTTTGTTGTTGCATTTTGTTTTTTTTTTAGATGTGGAGTCTCCTTATTGAGTCAACTTTTTGAAAACAGAAAATCAAAATGAATATAATTATTTTAAAAACCCAGATTTGGGTAAATAAGTCTGTGTATACCCTGTGTGATAAATATGCAAAGTATAAGTGTGTTTTTATTATTCTGAGTATTGTGTTTCTGAACAAGATGTTCCGGTCTAGTTTATTGTGTTCATGCACTAAAATAGTTGGCTCCAGTACTGCCTGCTGCTTCTTATCTCACTGAAAAATGAAGTGTCTGAAGAACTTTAGGATGCCAGAACTTCTGCCATGTGGGATTATAAAATGTTGTCAAATATGAATTAAAAAGCAACTGCTTTGATAATCTATTAACTGTTTTTTTCAGGTTCTCAAAAATGTGTCAGATTACAAACACAATACAAATGCTGCTTTTCTCAGTCACTTGATTGTAATCTGGCCACCTTTTGGTTCAGTTTTTCACCTTCGGCTCTCTAAAGTTAAAATGAAAATATTTGCTTTTTTTTGTATTTTATAGACAAAATTATTTAGACAGAATACTTGCAGTTGCATTCCCAGTCCTGCTAGTTTCATTAAGCATATCTTCCATTTGAAGCACACCAGACCAAATAATTAAATGTAAAGCTTGTAGTTACGATTTAATGAGTTGTGGGATTTTATTAATCATCGGATTTATGAAAGAAGAAGGAAGACGAAATGTTAAACTGATGTTTGACCCCAGTCAGCATCATCAAAGGGCTGTTATTCAGAAAGAATCCTCTTCTGATCACAACGCTGTTTCATGTTTCTATTTTTTTTTTTTTTTCATAGCGGGACTGCAGAGCTGAACAAACCCAGAAATCGGCGCAGAATGCATTGACATCTCTCAGTTTTTCCACCCAGCTCTCCTTACAATGGAACGCTCTTTGCAGGGTTTCTCTTTAAATGTATCCAAACTGTTCTACAACTCCAGCAATGCCACTGGGAATTACACCAGCGACCAACTGACCGAACTCAGCCTCTTTGAAATTCTGGGTCCAAAACGGTCTCCCTTTTTTTTCCCGGTGACCAGCATTTACCTTCTCATCTTTCTCACTGGTTTGTCCGGAAATCTGCTCACGTGTGCGGTGATAGCGAAGCACAAGAAGATGCGTAACCCCACCAACTTTTACCTCGTGAGCCTGGCTGCGTCGGACCTCCTCGTGCTTTTGTTTGGGATGCCGTTGGAGATTTATGACCTGTGGCAAAACTACCCGTTCCCCTTTGGCGAGGGCGGCTGCTACTTCAAGACCTTCCTCTTTGAGACTGTGTGTTTTGCCTCCATCCTCAATGTCACAGCTCTCAGCGTGGAGAGGTACATAGCTGTGGTGCATCCGCTCAAAACGCGATACCTGTCGACCAACCAGCACGCCAAACGGGTCATCACCATCGTGTGGGCGGTGTCGATGACCTGCGCCATCCCCAACACCTTGCTGCACGGCATCTTCTACCTGCCAGAGAGAATGGAGGAGTCGGCCATATGCACCGTGCTTAAGCCCCTGTGGATATACAACATGGTCATGCAGATCACAACGGTGTGCTTCTATTTTGTGCCCATGATGGTGATCAGCATGCTGTACCTGGTGATGGGCCTTCACTTGGGCAGAGAAAGGCAGCAGTCCAGTGGGAGCCTGGGAAAGAACAGCTGCAGCAACACTCGAAGAAAGATTAGGGTGGAGAACGGGCGCAGGAGACAAGTCATCAAGATGCTCTGTGAGTTCTTTTTTCTCTCTTTAGAAAGCTTGCATTGTTCCGATAGGCGCCTCTGAATCGAAAACATATATCCTCTAATCTGTGTTATCAATGCCACGACATGTTCCCAAAGACAAAACGAGAAGAGAACAATGAGTAAATAATGACAGAGACCCGTCTGTTGTCTACATCGATCATTTGTATTCTGAAGGGCCTTCTTTTGATTCACACCCTGTAATGTCTGAAAGGATTTCATGCTGGCGCAGTTCTTACAGTGTACAGTCCTGTGTTGTAAGAGAGAGATGTTTATTTGCGGTTTTATTTCTTACCTTGCAGCTTTTCAAGATAAATTCCTTTCCAGACTTTCAAATCCACTCGTCATCTAAAAATCCCTTCCCCTATAGCTGATAAAATAAGAGCTGGTATAGAATTCCATTAGTAAACAGCCTGGGGACATAATTTGTGAATCAGCTTCTTAGTGTAAGTGTTGTGTTTCTACAAAGTCCATCAGCAACACAGTTTCATGGCATTACTGGCATTTTCATGAAAAATTTCTCGATCTCTGCTTTTGTCAAAGCTCTTGTCATGAGTTGAAGTGAAAGATGCTCAGCTGGAATAAGCTGATGTCAAGTCTTTCAACACACCATCACTGTTTAGCATAGCAGGAACCAGCTGCTAGTTTTTCCAATTTTGTTTCTAGCAAGATGGAATGACAGGTTTCAGATTAATGAGGGTTCATATGACATTATTTATATATATATGTTTTCTATCCATAAGTGTAGCTCATTAAGTGACAAATGTTTTATCTAATCCATTATCCAGAGTTTTTATGTTAAATAGCTGTTTCAGGGTAGTGGTCTGTAATTACTGAAATAGTGACACATAGCCTGACTCCTACTAATTTATGAGGCTGATACCAATATTTGAGAGCTAAAAAAAATCAGATAATTTATATTTTTTAAGCTATTTTTGACATCAACACATGACATAAACATCCTAACCCCAAAACTGAATAGTATATGAAGAGTTCATTTAGAAAAACAGATAACTCCATTTTTGTCGATTTTCAGAAAATGTATTTTTTTGTTGTTTGCTTGAGATAATATCAACCAAACTGAAGTTGAGTGGATTTGACTAAGCAAAAATGACAGAAAATAGAGACAACTCAAGTTTGATTGATATTGTCTCAGGTAAACGATGGAAAAGTGGATTTTCTGAAGGTTTGTGTAGATGGACTTTTTGCAAATGAACTCTTCATATATTGTTTATAAATAACCTCAAACTTTTCCTTTTTTTTTATCATACAATTTCTTTTTGCAATATTAATACATATGCAAGGAGATTTTATATGATATACACATTTTCTATATAGTATATTCAGAATCAGCATAGAAGGTTTTCCAAAGGCATCTAAAGGCCAAAATAATCCAATTTACAATCTTTTTAAGCCTAAAGGCACTCTGTGGGTTTTCTTGTAACCTAACAAAGCCTATGCTTAATTTTAATAAAGCACACTGTAATTAATAAATGTAATTTAATTTTAAGCGTGATGTGCATACCCCAGAGGTCTAACTTATGTGTCAAAAGCATGTTCCTTCTTCCTCTTTCCTACCTTTGTCGGCTTTTTTTTTTTTGCAGCCTATCTTGGCAAGCAGGTAGGTGCTTGTACAACTGCATGGGAAAAAGAAAACTGGGGCAAACAGCTCCACAATGCTACTAGATGTCTAAAACTTCAAAGGGAACCTTTAATACATTCCTGACAAAAGCACTAAACCTTAAGAAATGTTGTGCATCAACATAGATTCTTGAGGGCTTCCTGTCCACTAACAGGGAGATAGTTTTTGTGAAGTCCACAATGAAACGCCAATGTTTTATTTTTTGTGATTTTTGAAGAAAAAAAGAGTTTTGATGCTTCAATTACAAAATAAGAAAATAAAACTAAATTACCATGTATGCACTTAAAGTTTGAATCAAAGTCTGATTCGATAGACCCAGCTAATCATTATCCTCTCCCTACTCTATTGTGTCTTGCTGAAAGCACACATCTTTACACAAAATGACTTCATCTCTGCTGTATGCCCAGCATGTTTAAATACAGCACGAGAGGTACAGAAACTGTGAGTGAATGACGTTCAGTATAGATGACGTGCATCTTCACAGTTTAATGCGTTTAATGCCTGCCTCTATAAGCTGCTCAATCAATCAGTCAACATGTACTCACTAAACTAATTTCCTCCTACTGTAATGTTATAAAGGACAGTAAGCAGATACATATAGAGTGTTTACTGTACGTCAAGCTTCCCTTACACACTGAACAGATCCAAGTGCAAAAGATGACTTTGTGTCCTGTACACTCCTAACACTTTATGTATTAGTTTTTGTGTGAGGGTTTTCTTTTAAGTGGTTGGTTCACAGGCAGCACTTGAAAGTGTATTCAGCATCACCTTCAGATCCACCAAATGTTCACAAAACTTATCTCTCTCAGCATCCATTGGGATATTGGAAAACAGTGCCAGGGAGTTTTATCAGCGTTGACTCTAATTTAAACTCATGCTGTGTAACCAAAACTTTGTTGAAACCTACTGAACTTTTGTGAAGATCCCAAAGTTTCCAAACACACAGAATAAATCAGGCTGAATTTTTTTTAATGAAATGTGTCTAGCTGTGATGCAGAATATATGTTTCTATTTGATGCATTCATAAAACACACATCAAACAAGTGAGATACTGTTTTTAACCATAAACCTTTATATAAGGGGAAAAAGGTGAAAAAAATGTATGCTATGGAGTTAAATTGGCATCTGAAAAAGTCTGTAGTTTGAAAAAGAGATGAACCAAGTGCTGAATATCTGCCCTCATCACATTTATAAATATCTTGGCAGTGTGCAAAGTGCCACTAAGATCACAACAAAGCCTGCTCGATGCCATATGACCAGCATCATAAAAAGCCGAGTGCAGACTGTGTTTGCTGCACCTCCTTCAGTGAGAGCACCCAGAGAGCATTAGGCACGGATCATTAGGAGGAATGTAAGAGTGCACCATCACAAAATGATGTCGAGTATCCTCGGCTGCTCTGAGGTATACATTCACAACCGGCCACAAATGATTGTTAAATCCTAAAGTTATTAAGACTTCTTATACTTGTGTGTCTTTGTTTTATCTGTGGGCCACAACAGACAATAGTTTCTCCAGCTTTTGTCATGCTTAGGTGAGAATATATGAGAACCAGTCCACATTTTTCCTGAAATGGGATTTTCTATTACAATTTGGACAAGCATATTGTGAGTTTGTCTTTTGTGGATGGTGGATTGTGGCTGGTAAAGTGCAACATAAGCTGAGCATGAATTTCAAAAATAGGTTAATGTCATGCTGAACTGACACTTTTCTAGATTATCTTGAGGTTTTGTTTGCTTTCAAAAAATCTTTAAACAATCAGATTGAGCACTGTTGT